CAAAAAACCCCAATTCAATTAATAAAAGAAAATTTAAGGCTAAACTAGCTTTAAAGAGGGAACTATTATTTTCGTTTTGCCAGTTTGTTTTATGTACGTGTCTTAAAATCATTTTAGTCCTGTAACTGTCTCTGAAAATCATTTGTTCTGCAAAACTCAACATTTTCAGTTTATGGCTACTGTGCAAAAAAGTGTTTCAACTTATAAACAAGGCTAATTCGATTGAAATAGTTGTGTTTTTCATACTCATATAATCAGCTAAACAACCTGCAAATTTATTTCAAGAATAAAAATTTTGAACAGAAAAAGTTTAATTTTTTCTGTTTTTCGAAAAAATTCCATCAATTCCAGCAACATTTGACTTCAAATAAAAAAACCATTTCCTTCACAACTACTAAAAAAATTGTCTTGAAAAGAATTGTAGTTATTAACCAAATCGTGAGCAGTTTTTGAAGCCCAGATCTTTTTGGCTTCTGTTGGAAAAAAAGCAGACTATAAACTACATGAAAAAAATACGGTTTTGAATTTCTTGGGTTAAACTCAAATAATTGTCAATGAGAAAAAAAATTACTCTATTGAAGCCTAACTTTAATGGAACTCCAATCTAAGATTGGCAAAGTCTGTAGGTACAATAAAAAGTAACAGTCTTTTGAACGGTTCTGCTACCTTTTTCAAATGGAAGTATTGATGAATTCAAAAATTAACTTCACGACGCTTGAAAATTAGCTGAAACATTAAACTTTCGATATTTTCAAAACTTTAGGAAGTTAGTTGAAACATTAAATTTTCTATATTTACAAAATTTCAAATCTACAGTGCGTGTTGCATTTAAGTTAAAAACTAATCGTTCTCATGATGCAAGACGAGGTTGTGATCTACCTGATTAGGTTCTGAGAAAATATCAAAAAGCACAAACATTTAAAAAACAACTACACAAAGCACTATTTTGAAAATATAATGCCATTTTTTCGAAAGCTTTTCAGCCGCACAAGAAAACATCATCTAAATTTATATCTCTCACTGAAGAAGAGAAAATTTTGAGTAGTTATGGTACATTTCGGATCAAAAAGGTTCAATATTTAGTTTCAATGACATAATTATGTGATCGGGATCTGAAAATACAAGTTTTCCTCATGTGCACTAACTTTCCAACTTAGTGAAATTTTTCTCGAGTAAGCGGAGTAAAACAATTGTTCATGCAAAGAGAAAATGGAATAATCAGTGTGAAAATCTGGATAACTCGTTTTTGATAATTTCATTTTTGTTATTTATCTGATCATTTTCTCACGGTCAACGTAAAAATTTTTACTGAACTTTAAAGATAACAATTTCAAATGGTAGATTGAAAACTGGCTTTTTGCAGAAAAAAAATTCTGAACTTGCGCTTAATTTTGCCCGCAAGTGCAGGAAAGAAAAGATTTGAGGGAAATTGTCACACTGCTAACTGCATTTTCTGGTTTAACATGTTTCACAAGGCATGATCGAGTTTTTTCTAATCCGCTTATTTGAAAAAGTGTTCACTCCCACAGAAAACATATTTCATATGGTGAAAAAACTGGCAAATGCTTCAAATAAAAAATTGAGACTATCAGGTAAAGTAGTTTAGATCATTTGCTGTCGATTGATGTGAAAGTTTTTTAGAAATCTAGTTGTTTATTGTTCAAAGTTTTCCATTCAATTAATTTTATTTTAGGTAATAAAAACGTGAAGTTGCGTTTACCTTTGTCTGCTAGTGTATCAGAGCAAACATAAAGTTTTTTTCGAATTTTAAAAAACATAACAACCTGAAAGATTTGCTGGCTCATCAAAAAGCTGCTGTTGCACTTTCAATGTCGCCCAATACAAGTAAAATATTTTTTTTTTCGCAAGATTAAGTATGCTGAATAAGATATTTAAAAAAACTTTATTTATTTACCCGCAGATCTGGTTGTCATCTTGATTTAATTTTTCTTTTTGTTGAAGGAAAGCTTGCCTCTTCAAGACAAAGAAGTGGTTAGGTTTTTGACTTCCATCGGTTGTGTGACTTCTTTCGCATTGTATGTTTTTCAAAAGAAAGATGAGTTTGGAGCTAAAGTCTTGTTCGAACAAGAAGCTATTGTTAAATTTACACATAATTTTAATCAAGAAACCATTAAACATCTACGTTTAAATTTTTAAAAACTAGCAAAACTAATTGTATAGAAATAAACAAATTTAAAACGCATTTTTCTCAAATTGGGTTGAGTTTAGATGAAAACTTATGAAAACAAAACTTGCTTTAAGTTTTAGCAGAATCAATGTGCTGTAATTTGTTTTGCGAATTTCGGGCCCGGAATTTTACCCCAAAAATGGGTCATTTTGGCTTTTTTTAGTTAATCAAAAATTAGGCCGAAAATACCCTGTCGATCACAGTCATAAAAAAATCAAAGTGAGCCCCTCACTTAGCCCAACAAACTTTAAGAAAGATTGATTTTCCAAAAAAAATTGCAAATTATTTAAAAATTGTTTTTTTTAAAAAAAAGTTGGTGTTTTATATAGTAAAAAAAAAACCTTTTTTGTCTATCAAACAAAAATAGACCAATTTTTACACTTTTTTGGAGATAATACCTTTCCTGAAGTTTGTTGGGCTACGTAAGGGGCTCACTTTGCTATAATTATGTCTGTGATCAAAAGGGTATTTTTGGCGTAATTTTTGATTAACTAAGAAAAGCTAAAATGACCCATTTTTGGGGTAAAATTTCGGACCCGAATTTCGCAAAACAAATTACACTATATTAATTCTGCTAAAATTTCAAGCAAGTTTTGTATTCATAATTTTTCACCTAAACTCACAACCCAATTTGAGAAGAAATTTTGACGCGTTTTGTCCGGTTAATTTAAATCAGCACTGTAGATCTCTTGATCAAACTTTTGTACAAATATTGATAAACCAATTTTCTGTAGTAGTTATTGCATTTTTGAAGGCCCATTCGACTGTATTCCAGTTTATATGCCAGATAAGGTAATGCAATTGTCTAAATTTTTTTTGAATTAGTTTCTTTTTCAATTCTTCTTCATTTAATGTGTGTACTTGTTACGACTACTGGAAAAGTGGAATATCTTTGTTGTCGGGTGTGTTTTAGTTTGTTTCCTAATTTTATTTCTGTTTTCCAAGCAAAATTATCGTGACGCAAAAGATCATTGGGATGTATTGAAATCGAAGGTTGTATCACATTGATGTCATTTCAGCCGTGATTTAATCAATATCAAAAACATTGAAAAAACTGTCCAGGCGCTGAGAAAAACTGGCTCGAAGTTATAATTTAATTTCGAACAAGTTAAGCGATTTATTCATGTTCTTAAAGAAAATGGTATTTAGGCAAAGTAAAATTGATTCTAAGTAGAAAAGATTATTTGGAGCTTGTTTTAGAGCTTTTTTGGGATTTAATGAATTGGTAATTTCGTTCAAAAAGGTTAGAAAAAATTAGACCTTTTTTTGGAAAACTTCTTTTAATTGTTTTCTGTTTTTTTTTTAAATTTTTGAATACAAGTATCGAATTAATTCTTAACAACTAAGTTTTACGCTTTACATCAAACCACACACAAAAAACCTGCAAATTTTTTTGTTTTATTTTTTTTGAACTTGTTCAAATTTTTTTGTACTACTTGCACAGCAACCAGCTATCTTTGTTTACAATTGGACGAAACATGAGGCCTGATAATTGATATAGGGTCAATTGACAAATTAAAACTTCTTATAGAAAACATAACACTTTTATCGAAATATTGACTCTTTTGATCATAACAGGCACGCGTTGTGTAATTGTCTCGGGTTTTGCCCCTTACATATATCAATTCTTAACTTGCGCTTGCTCCATTTCTTCCTTAAAGTGCATGATTTTAAAGTACCAATTGCTGGTGTATGTTTCGAGTCCTGTTTAGTCTTGTATTTGTTCTTCCATTTCGAGGCCAAACTGTGCACTGGATAGGCGCACAATTGTGTGTCTGTATGTTCCTTGACTGGAAAGACAAGTCTTTAAACATGTTTCAAAAGGTAAGTGGATTTCACTTGCAAAATTTCAGTTGATTCCGCGCACAAATACTGCAACGTACATTGATTTTGTTGCGGATTCCGCAACGAGCGAATATAGGTAGTTGTTCCGGAATCTGCAAATGCAAGCTGATTCTGCAAATTCAAGTAGGTTTCGCAAATTGATGCGGATTCCGCTTACAATTTGCAGACTCCATTTACAATTTGCGGAATTCACTTAAAAATCGCAGATTCCGCTTACAGTTTGCGGTTTCCACTTACAGTTGCGGATTCCGCGACAGCTTATTTTAATAAACACAATATTATTATTTGTTTATGGATTCCTCAATCTGATTCCGGATTCCACACATTTTGTCGCGGAGTCAGCAAAGTTGCCTCTTTTTGAAGCACTTTTGAGCAATACAGTGTTTCAGATTTTTGTCCGTGGAATCCAAAATAGCAGAAAAGATCAAAGAAAATTACAATGCTGCGGATTCCGCAACAAATCTGATTTTTGCCTGTTTTTGCTTATCCAGACAAAAGAAAAAAATACGAATTTTTTAACGCGCTTTTTTCTCAAATTGGGTTAAGATTAGACAAAAATCTTAACCCACAGTAGACAAGCTATATAAACACATACGAGCAACTCGACACTATTTTTTATCGTTCGGGAACTTTTTCTAGCACCAGAACGTTTTTTAGGCCTAAAATGATTAGTTCAATAATAGGGCAAATGCAAGTTTTATAAATAACAGAATTCCACCCTCTTCCAAAAGGAATGCGTCTTTTAAATAGGTGCACTAAATTCCCTTTCAATTTTGGTTGTTTACTTTTTCAAACCTCTTAACAGATTTTAGAATAATTTTGCAATTGTGGTTCCATTTTCTTTCGTTTGCCGAAAAATTGAAACCAAAAAATCATAAACGCTTGTTTTCAGATATGTTACCAATTTTGAAGTTTTCTTGTTTGGTTTACCGCTGAGCGATCTAAACACATATCTGTGAAGCAATCAAGCACATGTACACAAACATCACAATTTTACCTATCACACGTTACATTTTAGCATACTATTGAATGCACACTTATGTTTAAAATAAATGGCTTAAAATGTAATACAAAATATCCAAAAGCACATTGAGAAGCTTTAGAAACAGCATTTGATGTTCAAAATGCGTTTAAAAAATTGGTAAAATGCGACTATTGATATTTTTATTGGTCTCTTATTGCCATCAAATTGTTAAAAATGGCCGCCTTAAATCCAGCTTTGCGGTCCAAAAATTCCAACCAGTTTTGGAAGTCAACTTATCATCGTGATTACCAGATAACTCCAAGGTAGTGAAGACCAAACTTTTGATTTTGAATTAGCGATTTGATTTAAAATTAATATTTAGACTCAACGGGCGAAATTAATCATACTTTTTCAATAATGGTTTTCAAATTTTTTTTAAAGCATCAACAATCCGATATAGTTAAGATATAACATCCAGCAGCGAACTTTGAGAAAGTTTTTTGTTGTTGAAATTTTCCCTGAGATAAATTAGTTTCAATTTGCAAAAAAACTGCAAAAAAGGATATTTGTTATAAAATCGATTATAGAATTGAAAACATTTTGATTAACAGGAAATTTATGCGCTCCAAAACTGAGCAAACGCAGAGAACGAAAAATTATCTCTATAAAAAATTTAATAGCGATTAGAAAATAGTAGCTTTAAAATTCAAAATAATTCTTATTTTAAATAAGTTATTTTAAATAAGCCTAGAAAAAATCCCAAGAACACAAAATGGCAAAAATGACTTTTCAAAAATATTGATAAACCTTTTGAGCTTTTTTCTTTACTGCCTCTGAGTGAAAGAAAGGAACCGATTATTCCAAGATTCCGAGACGTGGAACCAGTGTTAATGGCACGACCGTTCATTCTCAAAACTGGAACACCCGCTGGAAAACCTTCTGGAAGGTTTGAGGACTCTAACTGGACTTCAATGTACAGACAGAGTTTCAAATCACACCATAAAAACAGATACGAAGTAGATCGCCCTTTTGCGATGACCAGTCGCGATCCAGTTCGGCCGATTTACTTGCCACCAATTCAACCATATATGGCAACTGGTTACGACTCGCTAGCCTATCAGAATCAAGTTCCGTTTTATTACGCAACAGGAACACTCGGATCTCAAACGGACAGACCATTTTATTACGCAACAACTTACGATCCGACTTATCTGACTCCGAGAATGGAACCGAAAAAGGACAAGTTTTGGAGTTCGACTTACAAAGACAGTTTCAGAGGCTACGATGATGACGATGCAATGCAGCCATACTTGTATTACCAACCTTTGAGGTAAAGTGATGATAAACGCACCACCACATAGAGTTTACTTAGAGTAGCGGGCTGAGGGCTTAAACGGTAAGCCCCCTTCCAAATTGGAACCTGATCTAAACTATATTTTATGATTGGATAAATTAAATGTTTTACCAATGTAAAGTATTTAATATTAACCAATCATGATCCATCTAACTAACAACCCACTTATTTGTAAGTGCTGAAGTTACTTGTAATTTCAGCACCAGAGAGATTTGAATTTAACTTAGAAATTAGTTGGACTCTCCCGAGCACTTCAGCAGCCGCAATAAACCAGTATACCCTAGATCTATTGAGCCTAGCAGAGACTAGTTAAACAACCTGAGACTAGATAGTATAAGAGTAAGATTAGGATCGGTATTAGACTAAGAAGTTGCACGAATCTATCCGGCCGAAAATAAGATAGCGTGACGAGCAGACGGTGTACCCTATCCGAAATTACTCTATGAGTTACACTCCAGTCCTAACTCATCTGGTGCGACCATAAGTCTCGAACAAGACCTTATTAGATTAGAATTAACCAAAATTAGATTAGAAATTAGACAAAAACATTTACAAAATGTTATACGACAATAATTTAATTGAAATGTCTCTCCGACTCAATAGATCCGAGCCAATATTCCGAACCATAATAGAACTACCCGGAATTGGAAGAAGACATCGAACCAAAGACGACATACGACAAAGTAGAAACTTGCCGTATAGTTACATGATAGTTCGGCAAAAGCCAGAACAAACTTTTATATTTCGAATACTACTTGCAATGAATTTAGATTTCCATTTGCAAACATAAAACCTTGAAGTAAATCTTCAAAATCATTTCAGGCGCTAAACAAAATTAATATTATACAATAACGATTGATAAAAAGATCTAAGATCGTTTTCCTAAAATTCTGCAGTATTATACAAAACATGTTTGAAAAATATTTATTGGAAAATAAAAATAAAAATTAGTAGCATGACAATAAATGGTTAGTAATCATAAATCATCCTGTTGTTCCAGCTTCATCACCTAAAACATAACAGCAATCATCAACTCACTAATATCATAAAATACTAAATCTTTCCTTTACACAAATTTAAAACCTCATTAAAACTTAAAGTCACTTAATTTTAAAACCAGATCATCAAGGCTTATCCTTGGATCTTAAATCATTTTCTACTTCATTACATTTTAAATTTGATCATCAAGGCTTATCCTTGGATCAAACAGAACAACTTTGTTCTCCCCCACCCACTTAATTAGTGTCTAACGACCTCAAACGTCGATTCACTACCCAACCCTTTCTAAAGACCCAAGACTAATAGAAATTTTTAAACAAAACTAATCATTCAAATTAGGATAAACAGTGAAGAACTTCGGTTATTCATCCTTCACTTGATCCCCCCTCTTACCAGACCCAGGATAAATCTTAGACTTAGTAAGTTTAAAATAGTATCTAACGAACTACTCGCGTTCTAATTATACCTGAACCTTGTGGATCGATTTACTATTCTCCAACCCTTGAACACAATCACTACCCCTAAGTAAGATTAAGTAAGTTAACACCTTAGCTTATACTAGTCACGAGAAAGTAAAAATCATTCTTCGGAATCGATATACTTTTCTCTCCAACCCTAAACAAATAGACCCAGGTTAAGCTAACCAAAAAATCGTAAGAACTAACAGTTTAGGAAAATAGAAATCATTTAACAACCTTTTGCACCCGTCATCCTAAACCTTATGTCATTTAAAAACCTAGGGAATAAACAAACAATCGTTTTACACAATTGTGAAATAGATAACAAAAAATACGACCTTGTAATCACACCTCATACACAAACAGTTGGATACATTCGAACAAAACGACAAACACTAAAGAGAAAAATAATCACTAAACAAAGACAAATAACACGAAAAAGATTTTCAAAAAATCGAAACGCATTTTCAGAATCAGAAACCAACAGTTTAGACGAACTCTACAAACTAAAAGAATCAATAGATAAAAATTACCCACAACACGATCAATTATATTTTTCTGACTCAGAAACAACTTCAAATTCATCACAAAGAGGAAAAAGAAGAATAAAAAAGCAGTATAAACACAAACCAGTACATCTATACAACTGGAATCAACCAATTCGACACATTAATAATTACATATTAACAGTCATCGAACGAAAAAATGAGTTCAACGCACACCCCAGGTGACGAAACTCCAGATGATGATGAAATCTTTCCTTTTATAGTAGATGCAGATACTGATAGAGGACAACACATATTTTGTCAAAATTTACTCGTAAATTTATTTGAACCCGGAATCAGTCCATGTAAAACAGAGTTCCCCGATGTAAAAATCAAAAGACAAATCATAGATCACTATCTAAAAGATATATGCAACATAACACAACAATATGGAATCTACTCTATAGAATTCACTTCCCCAAACCATAATAATAGAACATACACTATTCAAACAGACGACCTTGATTTAGAATTTTCAAAAGTTTTTTCAGAATATATAAAAAGCATACAATACCATAACTCACAAAGAGCAAACTCCATTTTCACCAATGAAGTTTTCGCACTAATATATAGTTATATTTCGATATTAGAAAATGAACTCCCATTAACAAATGTCTCACCGACAGAAACATCTAAACATTTAAGAGTACGACATGAAATCACACTACTCTCTAGTTATTTAAACATCATTAAAGAAAATTTCACGAAAGACGACGTTTCACAACATACCAAACACGATTTACAAAAAATTTTAGCATGGTTCATAATAGATTATTTTACACACAATATTGATTTAATTGCACAAGCAAGAAAAAATTTTAGACCCCAAAACTCGAACGATGATACAGCTATCACAGAACAATCAGATTATGTTTGGGACCCCGAATGGTCTCATCCCGTATTTATAAACTTTCCACAATCAATCTCAAGTCAAGCAATAGGTACAATATCTTACATAAGAGATTATGTAAGAGTAATACCATTAACAATTGATGCAACACCATTAAACTATAATACATTTTTACCCGATACACAAAATAATAGTTTAAACTCTACAGTCATACACAATGAAAACCTCAATGGAACTAGGAATCTTACTCAACAAGATATACAGACACCATCACACTTCATAAATGAAGAAATTGTACACACAACAACTACACAACAAAGTATTTCACCAATACGCCCAAATTTAACAACACCAAGAAATACAAATCCTTCACAAACACAGGTAACCTTACAATCAACCGTTAAACCTTCGGTTGCCCCTAAATATTCACATATGGATTACCAAACATACAAACCCATGACAATACCATCAAAAACACGCAAAACATTCACTAGAAACAACTTTGCAGACCATAATTATAATTATACACATCCATCAAAAACAAATTATAAACCACAAAGAAATTTTAATCAATATACAAAACCTCGAAACTGGGATAACCCAACGGCCCAATATAATTCCACAAATTTTCAACCAAATCCTCCACAGGATCGCAGTGAAAATTACCCATTTTTTCAACAAAATAAAAATAAAAAACAAACATCTTATCAAATGGATTATTTATCCTCAGATGAAGATTTCTTACAACCAGATATATTTGCACCAAATACTCAAGAATATCGTAGACAAGGAATACAGAAAACACGTACAAACCATAGAAATTTTTCTCCACAATCAATAGATGCACAATATCAACAACCAATTCAACAACCAAATCCAATTAATATACAATCTTTTCAACCAATTCAACAACAAAATCCAATGACTACACACTCGTATCAACCATCACAAATGCAAAATGAAATACCACTCCCGTATTATCTTCAACAACATGAAATAACAAGAAACCAACTTTCAAATTTTTCTCAAATGCCAAATGCAGCTGAATCATTACAAATGACAATGAATCCATACCTTATGGGTGGATCATCAATAACATCAAACAAACCTTTAATGGTTTTCACAGGAACAGACCCTGAATACTCTGTAGAAGATTATTTAAATGCAGTAACAGCAAACCTGATTTTAAATATTGGACCTGAACCAATTAATACGCCACTACATCAAAACTGGATACATCGACGCACAGCGTTGATACAAACAACCTTAGATGGCGCAGCCCAAAAATGGTTTTCAGTACTACCTCAAGAAATAAAATCAAACTGGAAAAGATTTACACAAGAATTTTCAAAAATGTTTGACTCCGAAAGAAACAAACAACAACAAAGAGTTTTATGTAATGAAATTCGCAGATTACCAAACGAAACCATCAAGCAAATAGCAGTAAGAATCGAAACACTAGTTCGAAAAGCATATTCACTAAATACACATGACTATAAAAACACTAAGATGACAGAAATCTTAATGATGACCTTAACACCACAATTAAGGAAAATAGCAATAAAAAAGAGAGCATCACATCCTTCTTCAATTCGAGAACCCGATTTAGATTTTAGAAAACTAGTAGACAAACTAGAACAAGCAGAAATCACAATGAAATTAGAAGAAACGGAAAATCTGAAATTACAATACGTTAACAAAATTGAAACGACTCCCACTAATATTAATAATATACAAGAATCAGAAACAGATCTCGTTGAAAAAATCACTGAAATACTCAATATTTACGAAAAGAACCCGAACTTTAAAGGCAAACCATCTTTCAAAAAATGGTGTAATTATTGCCGACGATACGGACATAGTATTTCCGAATGTAGACAAAAACAACAAGATAGTCAAAATAAACCTCAAAAATACAAAGAACCAAATAAATCATTTTATCAATACATGAAAAAAGATCAAAACCTACCAAACAAAAATGTATACAGCAACAACAGTTCAGGAAAACCACTCCCAAACAATACAAGCTATACAAGAAATCAATCTCCATATAACTCAAGTTATAGAGGAAGATCACCAGAACGAAGAAACACGTATAATTCATCACAAAATCACTACAATAGA